GAGGTGTTGGCAGGACCCCAGGGGTGGTGGCTGCTCACTTGGGAGTGGGAAAGTAGGAAAGAAAGCCACGCAGGACCCCCTTGAATTCTTTCATTGCCTACAGTTTGACGACATAGTGTGAACAGATTCTGTAAACAGATTCTGCAAAAGGAGCAACAAGGAAGGGGAATGTTGAAGCAAGTGACGACCCGAGACTGAAAACGATGCCTTACACTCACGCACGTGCACACATACACACGTGCACACACACAACCCTCAAAGAAATGAAAAGGCATATTGTGAACAGAGAAAAATATTTTTGAACCATTGTGTCAGACAAAGAGTTAGTATCTTTAATATGGAAAGATGAAAATTACAGAGAAAATGTTCAATATTCCAACTGAAAAAAAATTGCGGAAATAGCATGAAAGGGAATTTACAATATAAAAAGCATAAATGCTCAGAGAACATAAAAATATTTAAATTCATTAGATTTGTGGGATTGGGTATTAAGATAACAATGAAATATTATTTTGTCTACTATGTAGGCAAAACTGAAAAATAGGGTGACAGTTTTTGCAAGCATATGAATAACTGGATATTTTCCTACATTGCTGGTTACAGTATGAATTTTGATATATATATTTTTTGTAGTGCAAAGGCAAGAATCCCAACTGTTTGATTTAGTATTCCTGATCCTACATATTCATTTTAATAAAATAAGCAGAGATAAACATCAAAATTTTTGTAAAATTGTTTCAACATGATATAAATATCCAGTCAAAGAGGGCTGGTTAAATAAAACCACAGGATGTACTACTATTCAGTGATTAAAAATCATACTCAGGGAAATATTTAATAACAAGCAAGAAACACAATATGTTGAGCGTAAAGAAGGATGCAAACTACATATGTGGTATAATCACAGTTTGGTAAAAATTTGTTTTATGCACACATTTATATAATGTATAATAATAATTATATGATGTATAGAATTATATAGCACACATATTAATATTATCTAATGTGTATATAATTGCATATACAATGTACATATAATTATAATGTGTATATAATTGTTTATATAATGTGTATATAATACATTTTTATAAAAAGGAAGATGAGTTTTAGAGCAAAGAGCATTTTACATGAAAACAAAGAAAATGTTAAGGACATTTGGGAGTCTCTCTCTTTGATAGGGACTTTATTACCTTACCATGCACACATTATTACATTTTACCATATGAGGATAGAAATACCATTAAACCAGAAGTCACTCCTGGTACACAGAATCTCTAAGATTGTCTCTCAAAGATGTCCAAGTTCTAATCCTTAGAGCCTTGACATGTCAGGAGGGAGAACCTAAACTGATCATGTGAGTCTTTGAAAGCAGGGAACTTTCTTAGGCTGGTGGCAGAAGAGAAGTTGGAGAGATTCAAAGTACAGTATTTAAAAGATGCAGACCTGCTGCTGACCACATGGAAAGTGTGAGAGGAAAACAAATTCTGCCAACAGGCAGCAAGGCTGAAGAGGACTGCAGGGCCAGATCAGAGCTGCAGCCAGTGATACACTGGTTTGGGTCTTGTGGGAATTTAGATAGAGGGACCAGCTGAGCCACGCTATGCCCAGATTTCAGAGCCACAAAACATGTAAGATAATAAATGAATGTTGCTTTGAACTACTAAGTTTGTGGTCATTTGTTCCAGCAGCAATAAAAAATGAATACATTGTCCAATGTTTAAAAATGTATACAAGTAGAAAATAGGGTGCCATTTCTCAAGTAAGATTCAGCACAAGGATCAAATGTGTGGGCTTTCAGGTCAAGTAGAACTGAGACTAAATTTCATATTTTTTACTAATTGGCTGTCTGGTTTGAAGGAAGTTCTTTGATCTGTCTGAGTCTCAATTTCCAAATCTGTCAAATGGGATAAGGATAACTATTTTAACAGTTGGCTGTGTGTGTCTGTGTGTGGAGTAAACAATACTTGATGTGTAGAGTTCTTAGAAAATACTAAGCAATGCATTCTATTATTAGTGTATATTTGTTATTTTAGCTAGCTAGCAACTATGTACTAAGAATTTCAATTATAAGCTTTAAAAAGAATAATATACTGAAAACCTAAATAAAAATATTTTCTCCACTTCCTTCCCTTCTCCTCCCTTTCTCATCTTGATTTTAACCCTATCAACCTCGCAACCAACAAATTCTGTTTTATTTTTTATTTTTTATTTATTTATTTATTTTTTCCTTTTTGTCTTTTTTCGTGTCCGGCAACAGATTGCAACCCTCAGTGTCGTGCCCATACCAGACCCGGACCGGCAACGGGATCGCAAACCTTGGTGCTGTGCCCGCACCTCGCTCAGCCCGTGAGCGGGAACCGGTCTGTATGTGGGACCTTTCCTTTTTGTCTTTTTTCGTGTCCGGCAACAGATTGCAACCCTCAGTGTCGTGCCCGTACCAGACCCGGACCGGCAACGGGATCGCAAACCTTGGTGCTGCGCCCGCACCTCGCTCAGCCCGTGAGCGGGAACCGGTCTGTATGTGGGACCTGAACCCTCGGTGGGAGCGCCACCGCGCTTCCCAAGCAGCGCACTGTAGCAGTGCGCCACCGGGCCGGCCAACAAATTCTGTTTTAGATTCAAAGTAAGGAAGCTCTTCCAAGGGTTTGCATGATCTCATCTCAATAGAGTGAAGTGTCATGTGTCTCGGAGAAGTGGTGCCTGACCCATCCGACTTTCTCCAAAGGATGCTTTTTGGTGTCTGCCTTTAGTTTGGGATAATCCACTGGGGGCAAAGGCAAAAGATACAATGAAACCATCTCTTCCCTAAATGCATGATCCACAAAGACTTAGGCTGAGGAGCAAGAGGCTGGTGGTGTCGTCCCTGGGGAAGAAAAGATTTTCAAAGCATGCTAATATGAAGCCCATGTCCTTAAATATTATACTGCTGAAAATCTCATTCAAAAATATCCACAAGGGCAATTCCAAAGGGCATGGGATGGCAGCATTCAACCCCTGGAGGGAGAAAGGGGACAGAAAACAAGGCTTTGACTGCTCATAATCTATGTATCCTTTTTGAAAAAACTATCAGATCAACCTCCTAGTCAGAGCGGTGGCTCTCCAGAGGTACTCCAAGCTCTAGCAGCTTCTGGGCCAGGATATTTGTCACAAGCCTCTGGGGATAGGCCTTCGTATATGGGTTCTTTAGAGTGAGAGGTCAAGCCAATGGCTTGAGAGGCAGAAAGCTGTAGTACTACCTTGCTTATGTCCTGTTTACCAATTTATTAATTTTTCATTTGAGAAACATTTGTTGAGGAAGTTTTCTGTGTCAGGTACTATGCTAGAGAAACAGAGAAACAGAGATTGTCCTGTGCTAGAGAAACAAGAGAAACAGGGATTGTCAGGCTGGGTCACAGACCCTCCAAACCTGTTCTGTGCAGACTGGGTCACAGACCCCTCATATGCAGGTCACGGGCCAGGTAGTTGGAAAAAGATCCTGGGAACTGTTGGCAAGGTTGACAAGCTTTATTTGGAACATGAACTCAGCCCCCAGTGGATCAGAGCCATTGTCTCTATACTAGAGTCAGATAGCTAAGGAACAGATGGGTACACATGTGCAGTTAACGTATGTACATCAGACAGGCTGAGTCGTGCTCAGCCACATATGAAGTGAGGGAGCCCAAACAGTCTGTCTCCATTTTCCTCACAGAGATGAACAAGATGTACTGTGTACAAGGAGTTCGTGATCTAGAATGGTGTTCTCAACTGAAGATATTTTATCCCCCAGGGGACATTGGTCATCATCTTGAGACATTTTTGGTTGCCGCAACTGGGGGGCATGGAGGTGAGGTGTGTTACTGGCTTTCAGTGGGTATAGGCCAGGGATGCTGCTAAACAGAGCACAGCACAGCCCCCACTGAATTAACCAGCCCCAAATGGGAATAGTTCTGGGGTTGAGCAACTCAGGTATAGAACATGTCATGCAAGATATAAAAATAGTAGCTCAGGTGAGAAGAGCTGGTTGTAGGCAGAAAACAGAATTCTCTAGTGTGAAGATTTCATATTGGATCATTGAATCCATGGGAGTTTCTCTAAAAACGTGATCCCAGAAACAGAGCTGATGATAGAGAATCCTACCCAGATGAGAGTAGGAAAGCAGATCAGACACAGCTGCTGCTTGTCAATTACATCCCTGTGGTGTGGTTCATGGTTGAGTTCTACCTGAAGTTCATACCCTGACCGAATTAAAACTGGGGGCACAGAGGAGCTTGGAGCCTCCTTTTTAGAATTCTTTCTTTTACCCCTTTTTGTCAGGCCTTATATAAGCTCTTAGATTTCAGCAGTGTGAGCTTCCAATCCTCTGAAGTAAAAATCTGTAATATATTTTTTTCCACCTTTTTGTTTTTAACCCTAGGGAGCATTTCTAATAAAATTGTTCCCTGCCCTATGGACTGTGATCTCAATCTCTTAAAAGAAGACCATGAATTATACTGTAAGGTAAGATGAAGGCTATAGAAGTTGGCTGCAGAAAGATCAGGAAAACAGCAGCCCCTGATTATTAACTATGATTTCTTAAAATGTATTTCCAGGTAGAAAGTAATTTGGTCTTCAAAGCAGGTTTTGAAGTACAGGACATGCTAAAGTAGCTGACGTTTGAGAAATCAGCAATGCCAATAAATTTTTATTACATCGGAATCAGACTGCTTTAAGCTGTTGAAGACTTCAGTTAAATTAATCAGTCTACAAGACTCTTTCCAGCTCGAGCAGGGTGATTAGAAAATGTGCTGATTGTGCTGTGTTTCAGTGATTTATTTGGTGTGATTGTGTCCGTCATGAAGTCTGTATAGAAACTATCTTGATAAACTTAGGTAAATTAAGCAACCTGGGTTTCCAAAACATTGGCTCAATTAATTTTGCTGGCATTACTGGATTCAGTTTTTAGATAATCATTTTCAAAATCTATATCTACCTAGACCAAGTGACTTTGAGTCTTAAGTATTCAGAAAGTTTAGCCTGGCTAGAAAATTGAAGTGAAAAGGATTTCACTCCAACTTGGCAGTACAATGGGAAATGCAAATTATCTGATTCATTATTTTAATTCCCCACCTTCTTAACTAAATAAATATAGTTCTTATAAAGCCAACTTTCATGCCTGCTCTTAAGACTAATCTTACAGTCAGTCTTTTATTTTTCATCTCTAAATGATGGGCCACCATCTAATGAAATAAATGACTGAGTTTTTAATGTCCAGATGACCACTTGCAGGATTCACAATTATGATTGTTTCTATATCACAGACTGTGTTAAAGAAGAAAGCTTAAGAATCAAAAGTTTAGTGAAATTCGTAACGATGACAAATAACATTTACTGCGTGTCGGGAAAGTACTAGATGCTGGGAATGTTTTCAGTCCTTTACATCAAATGACTCATCTTATCTTACAACAAACTAATGGGGTAGATACTGCTATTGTCATCATTATCCCCATTTTACAGGTGACAAAAATGAGGCATGGGGATAGGAAATAAATAAGCCAAAACTGCATTGCTAGCAAGCGTATAGCTGGGCTTTGAACTCAGACTACCAGGTTCTCTGCTTCTTATTTGTATCAATCATGAAATAATTCTTCCAAAAAAGTTGCATATTCCTTTCTCCTTTCAGCCAGGTATATATTTTCTACTTCTTTGTTCTTATAAACTTAACTCAAAGGCTAAGATATAAAAACCAAGGTACAATCCACTAGGAAGGAAAAAAAAGAATTAGTGAAGGAAAGCTCACAGCCTTTTAGTACATACTACATATTAGATACTTTTATGTGTAGTCTTTGGGAAACTCAAGAAAGGATATGTCCATAAGACTTCCAGAATTTCATGGATTTGATAGCCTTTTAAATGTGTCTGTAAAATTCTCATTCCAACTGTTGATTAACATTGGGATTAGATGAAAGGCTAAAGCAGGTAAGGTGGGAATGCATATGTTCACTCTAAAAACCTACAGTTCTTCCCTATGTTTTCTGAGATTACATATTCAGTTAAGGTGTTCTCTCTTTCATTTTCATTTTAATATTATATTCTAAAGTTGACAAGTGAATTGTTGGGGACAGTCCTGAAGGTCAGGCATATTGGAAAGGTGTCCTAACTCTGAATCACTTCCAGAAGCAGCACGTGCATGTATATGCTGGAAATATGTCTCTGTATCAGTCCCTTTCTGTTGCTTTTAACAAAATACCTGAAACTGAGTAATTTATAAAGAAAAACAACATTTATTGCTTATAGTTTCTTTCTTTTTTTTTTTTTTTTCCTTTTTTGTCTTTTTTCGTGACCGGCAACGGGTCGCAACCCTCAGTGTCACGCCCGTACTGGACTGGGACCGGCAACGGGATCACAACCCTTGGCGTTGCTCCCGCACCTCGCTCAGCCAGTGAGCGGCCTGTCTGTATGTGGGATCCGAACCCTCGGCGGGAGCGCCGCTGCGCTTCCCAAGCGGCGCACTGTAGCAGTACGCCACCGGGCCAGCCCATGCTTATAGTTTCTGAGGCTGGGAAGTCCAAAGTCCATCTGGTGGTGGCAACAGTGACCCAGGGGTCTCACACTGCAAGATGGTGGAATCAGAGAGAGCAGAGAGAGAGAGACAGACAGACAGACTCTCCTCTTCTTTTAAAGCCCTCAGAAACACACCCGACCACCATTTTTAATCCATTCACTATTGCACAGTCTTATAATCCAATCACCTCTTCAAGGTTCCACCTTTCAATTGCCTTAATAGGATTTCCCAGCCTCTTATCAGTCACTTGGGGAGCAAGTTTTTAATACATAAACTTGCGGGACACAATTCAAGCTTCACTGAGATTGAGGGGGGGGAACATGATTAAAATCTACAACAGTCTCAGTAGTGTCCATGCTGTGGGAAGACAGAGCCAGAAACACACCTAAGTTATAAGCAACCAAGTGTTATGGGTAAGGGCAGTTATCCCACCTTCTAAACATAGACTCAGTCTGAGACTGCATACTCCAATTTAAGCATTTTATTCTCCTCTTAACTTTTCATGACATCAGGAATTAATTTGGATACATTCAGTTAATATTAAAGACTGTGGGAAAATGAAGTTAATGTAAAACTTCAAATGTGAAGTATCAGTTTATCAGGTAGAAATGATCAGAGAACAATCTGAACTTGCGGTCCTAAGTGACCAGGGGTGCTAGTTGTCTTCCAAAGAGCAGAAACAGAAGCCCCAGGAGGTTCATAACTTGGGGGTCTCACCAGATATGTCCTGAGCTACACAGCCAGGGATACCTTGTTTTCCCCGGGGTTCAGTTAATGGAAGCCTGTCCTGTAAAATTCTCTGGTAAACACATCAGGCACAAATTAAAGAAAGGGGAAACGGTATTCCTGCTGGATGGTCATGGGATTTAGGCTGGATTTAATTTGGAGCTATGATTTTTTTTTTGGATGATGATAACAGCACCGATGAGAATGAACATGATGTTATATTTACTTGCTTTGATACTTCAGAGGCACCTGGTATTTGTTGTTGTTATCTATGGCTTGCAATTCTGTGATGTTATTAATATACGCCTCTTAGCAGAGTGTCTCCACCCCAAACCTTCCTCCCCTGCCTTCTTAAAAACTGGTGAGCATCACTTGGGCGGGCATTAAAAGTTCTGGCCGCTCACTTCTGATCTTCCCAGGGCAGTTCAAAAGCTTTTGTAATCCTCAAGCTTCAGTCCTTTATTCACTGTTTCCTCTTTGCGAGGCTCTCTCTTTTGATGAAAACGATCCTTTTGCTCTTCATCTGGCCAGATGGGCAGGTGAACGGTTCTCCCCAGAGAGCTGTGCAAAGACCCCGTCTGGGGCTCGGGGAAGAAATCCTGCTGCTGAGTGGAGCCTGATTGTGCTGACACCGTAATGCTTTTCTGCCACACTGGTGTCACTGGCCTTTGGACTGCAAGCTCTCACTCCACACAAAGACACCCTCGCTCGTGTCCCGTCATCCTTGCCCTTCTCCATGAATTCTTAGGCCCATGGAAGGAATCATGGCTATGGGGCAAATGCCTCTGAACAGCAATATAGGAACCCTGAGCTGCTCTTCCTTACACCTAACACAATTAAACAGGTTTGTCTGTCATGAGCTAGAACAACTTTGAGACTTAGTTCTTTTTTTTTTTCCTTTTTGTCTTTTTTCGTGTCCGGCAATGGATCGCAACCCTCAGTGTCGCGCCCGTACCGGACTGGGACGGGCAACGGGATCGCAACCCTTGGTGCCGCGCCCGCACCTCGCTCAGCCAGTGAGCGGGAACCGGTCTGTATGTGGGATCCGAACCCTCGGCGGGAGCGCCGGCCCAGAGACTTAGTTCTGATAACATTTTCTACATAGCAGCTTTATAATAAGTAATAAATGTACAAGAAAGGGTGTTAGATATTCAATTGATCACTCATGTTATATAGTATCCTCTGCTAGATACTAATATTAATATTAGTATTCTAAAACATTTTAAGTGTTGTTAATAATAAATAATAAAATAATAATAATTAATAATAATAATAAAATAATAAATAATAATAGATGCACAAGAAAGGGTGTTAGATATTCAATTGATCACCTATGTTATATAGTATCCTCTGCCAGATACTAAAATTAATATTAATATTCTAAAACATTTCAAGTGTTGTTTCTCCTAAGAAGAATTATATACATCCATAAGTTATATTAAAAATATATACATCTATGTATATAAATGTTTGTCTTTCTAAGAATTCTGCAGTCTATGTAGGATAAATACTATCTCCATTTTCCAGATTAAAAAACTTCAATTCATGGACTTTCACAAATCCACCTAAGTTCGCAAAATAGTAAGAAGATTCAAATATGTGCCTTCTGACCATCATCTGATTACCCTTTTCACTATCCACTTTAGGTTTTCAAAATTTTTGGAAATCCTCTTTCCTCTCAGTTTGTGTTGTGTTTGGAAGAGTGCTCATTCATTGTTTCCTAACCAATGTTGTATTTTTTCCCCAGTGTTGTGTTTGAATGGGAATTTTTCAAAAACCAAATTTTTGGTTCATGAACTTGAAAATCACATTCTGAATTTTAGCCATTTATATTTAAATATTTGTTCTTGATTGCTGTAGCAGGTCAGGATATGTGATTTACAAAATGTGATGTTCTTGAACAAATTTGCACCACCAATTTCTCTTTAAAGTATAAATATTTATCTTCCTAAAGACATTTCAATCTAAAGATTGGAAGATTCTTTTTAAAAATGTTTTTTAATTAAAAAAAATTTTTTTAATGATGGTGCTCTTTGGATTCAGGGTACAGACAGGACTTAAAGTTGTAATGGGCCAGGGGATCAATTTTCTGTCTTTTAAATGTCAACAATAGCATAGTTAAAGCGTTATTTCTCTGGCATAGATTTAAGATATAAATTTTTGCTCGGTGGACTGTTTAGATCATTAAACCAGATCAATGTGAGCAGGCTTACACACCCTGTACTAACCTGGGAATTTCTCTGCACACATTTACCTTCTTTTTGGAGTAAAAACTTATTTCTTTGTGGTTTTCTTCCTCTTTGGGCTCATTTCTTTGGAGATAAACTAGTTTTTGTGATTTTATGTCTTCCAAAAAACCCAGTTGGAGGAATTTTTAGTGCATTAATTGAGATATTTCTTAAAGGAAATAACAAAGGTTCAGAAAATTTTGCAAGTTTTAGAATTTATAGGTCTTTTTCTTCAGGACTTAGCAACTGGAGGTAGATTCCATTGTTGATGTAATGTAAGTACCTAACGAAATGACCTCTAATAGCTATTTCTTGAACATCTACTATGTGCTTAGTACCAAATTAGATGCTGTGAAAGACACAAAGAAATATACTCCATTCCATTTCCACTGTGAATTAGTTTGGAGAAACAGAATAGATGTTCATACGTGGCGGACACGGTATATAATAGCAATCTGTGGTAACAGGCATCCTGCCAGGATTGATCTGGCCATCACATCTTGGGCATGAGTGGTGACAATCAGCTTTGTACCCCACGAGTATTCATAACCAATAATAAATAAATAAATAAGAAATATGTCTAAATTTCAAGACAGGGTGGAATGCAGACCTGAGATATGTAGAAGAGTGTTTTACAAGACAGCACGTGGTACTTGAAAATGTTACTCTTTAGGAGAGAAAAATATTTCAAAGAAATGTGTGGCATGTGTGTGCAATTTACAAATTCAGTTACAGCACTCAGATTTTCCAGTTATTAGTAAAGATTATAGGAAAGGGGCAGCATATTTTATTCTCTTGCAGTTTAACTATTGGCTAATAGCCATAGGGCTCTCAGATTCCTAATTTAATGTTAATAATATTAGGAAAGATCAATGTGATTTATTTTGTGTATTTTATGTATTTGTTAATAATTCAAGAAAAAATAGCAATTTAATCATATAACCATTGCTTCAGAATTAAACAATTCTGCATTCTAAACAAACAAACAAACAAACAAACAAACAAACAGAAAGCAATTCAATGCACTCTGTCATGAAACACCTATACTTTAACAAATTGGAAGTTCTGGTGGGGAAACCAAATCTACGATGTAGTTCTTGGAAGAAATTTCAACTTTCTATCAAGTGAAATTGAATAAAATAGCTAAGAAATTCATAAATAAATGCCATCAACTTTAAAATTTAAATAGCTACAATAACATATTTTAAGCAGTCTAGCAATGTGTACTAATAAAGTATAAGTTGGGACCATTCAAAGCTCTCATACTTTTCGAAAAATATTTGGCACTTTTTAATTTACTCCAGAATGGAGTAATTAAAAATACCAACACTGAATAATCTGATCAAAAATACTTTTATTGGTATAGGAGCTATAGAGGCTAAAAAACATAAAAAAGGCCACAATGAAAAGTACCTTAAGTTGATAGCTATCATAACTGGATTTTGTTCGTAAGGTAATCAAATCAATCAATTTTGTCATAAAAGACATGAGCCTTATTGAGTTCACTAGAGATCTGATGACACGTCATCTATTTCACCTGAGTTTTGCTCTAAGCTTTTCCTGTTTACTACCGCTTGCTAACGCAAAGCAGCATTTTGTGATTGCAAAATATTCCAACTAAGAACTGTGCTAAATCTTGTATGAACCGAAATCAAGGAATTTCAAGTAACTGACCTTTGACAAATGATAATTAAGAGCATTTGAGAAGAGTCTTAAAAAAGGGAAAGAAGAGTTGTCACACAACTATCTTACAAACACAGGTCATGCCTAGTTTTCTCCTTCTCTAGACTCGGAGTTTTCATACTACTTTTTATCAGTAGCATTTTGTAATAAAACCTTACAGGAAACCCCAACATATAAACCAATTCAAGCGGAGCTGTTTTGGTGGGAGGGGGAGGAAGAGCCCTGCTAGGTTAGCTGCCTTCTCCCACTCCCTCCCGTAATGGGACTCCCAAGAGTCCACGGTTGGACTGCACAGGTCTTGGTCTGTCTTCCTAACCAATCATCACGGGCCACAAACTTCTCAGTTTCTAGTAAATTAGCTTCACTGATATTGCATACATCCTGAGCTTCAATTTTTGTTGTTGAGAATCTCAGGCTGTGAGACTCAGGAGCTACTGATGACAATGCTGGAATAAAGTGACCTGCCAAAGCAGAGAACAGAGGTGACGAGAGTCTTGGTTGCCTTCAAGTCCTTGCTTCCTGGGCTCCTGAAATCCAGCTGCCCCCCTGCTTTCTCTGCAGGCTGGTTGTTCAAACCTTCCTTCAATTTCCTTTTTTGCCAAGATCTACTTTGTGCTGCACTTTTGCTTGCAACCAAAAGTCCTGATTAAATACAAATACCGTGACCATGATTATATTTGTTCATTCTAACAACATTTACAGAAGCTGTCCCATGTGAAATAATACAAAAACAAGCAAGCTGTACTCTCTGCCTTTATGGAGACAAGAATCGAGTGAGGGAATCTGGAGTATAAAACAATAATTTCAATGCAAAAACTATGGCCAACTGTGCTCCCTCATGATCAATGAATCTATAAGTCATTCTGGGGAAAATGTCACTGAAACCAGGTGAATTTTCTATCTGCTATTAATAAAATACTTTGTTTAGTCATTTTTTTGTTTATTAATTTCTCTGACAAGGGAGATAGCCTGACTGGTCATTCTGTGAAGGAAAAATCAACTGTTTGGAGAACTGGAGAATTTAAAGGTTATTCACAGGATATATCTTACTTGGAGGAACTGGAGAAACACCGATTTCCAGTTTGATGAGTGACTATATCCTGTCTTTCTGTCTTCAGATTTAAACTTATTGAATCCAGTGTGCCTTTATTCTATTCTATTCTTATTTATTTATCCAAGAAATATTAATTGCATGCCTATTTTAGGCTGTAGGATATGTACACTGACTTGGAAGGATATGGATGTTTAAAACATCAAGGTGATGTGATAACAGTATTTTTTAAAAAATTACACAAAGTGCCTCTTGCACATATGGACAAGGCGAAGGCCTAATTTACTTGAGAGTGGAGAAGGGTTCCCAGAAGAAGTTTGAGCCAAATCTTGGGAGGAAGACTGCTGTGGAGAGATGGTGACCATTTGGTATGTGCAGAGTCTGGACATGGAAATGGGAGGGTAGCCAGAGGTTGCAACCCTTAGTTCACTTAAGATCTAAGCAGATCATTGTTATTGCTTTCTCTACCTGGTGGTGTGTATGTGGAGACACACATATCACAAGCATGAAAAAAGGGGTAAAAGAGTGACCAATGGAGCCTCTCAAAGGTACTGAGTACAGGAGGCTTCTGCAATGGTGGTGTCCATCAATGGTGGTGGTAAGGACAACAGTGGCAGTGGACAGAGAGTGGCCTAGAAAAGGAGAACAGACAGTGGCTTGTCAAAGTCCTCCATTCCTATCCACTGACCCATGGTGACTCCAAGATCTGGTGCCTAAATGGCTTTGCTATGGGGCATTTATCTGCCCTCTGACTTGGTTCTCAAAGAGTTTGCTGTCATATTTGCATCCTGGAGCCACCATCTGGAGGACACGGAATCAGCTCAGATTTCCTCTGTGCAGTCACATTTCTTACAACTCCTACTGGTCTTCACTTACACTGAGCACTATCGACACTTTCACCAGTGCTTTCCCGGAGCAGCGGGAGTGTGGTCTCCAGGCTAACAGGGCGTTGCCTGAGAAGCATCAGGTGGGAAAAGGAGCCCAAGAGCCCAGAAGACAAGAAACATGCATGTCTCTTCTAGAAAGAAAAAATATGCAAGGGGTGTTATTTTCAAATAAGAAAAAGACATGCTCTTTGTTTTTCAGAAACTCTCAGTCTGTGATAGACGCTAAGGGGAGGGTGACATGTACATTTAGATTTAATTCAATGAAATAACTGCCAGAGCAGAGGTACCAGGTGCTTACTGCGGTGTGCAGAGAGCTGGGGCTTCTTTTGGGCTTCACGCTAAGTTCTTGATCTCTATGGGAAAAGTTCAATTAAGCTCACAGGCCCCCTGCTCCTCTATTTTGCCTACTTTACAGGCTTTCTGTGATAACTCCACTCCCTGATGCCCTTCACGCATGACCTTTCAGAGTCCAGAGTTTGCAATCTCACAGTGACATTATTTTGCACATACCGTATAAAAACTGAAGGGTCCCAAGTATCTCAGAGCTCCAGTTTCTGATTGATCTTTTAAGTCTCAGGCACTCATCTTTCAGTAGGTGTCCCCCGATGCTCTAAGGGACAAAGTCTAGACCAGGGACTGGCAGCTGCAGTTCCCAGGGCCGAATGCTGCCCACCTCTGTATTCCTAAATAAAGCTTAACTGGACCTCACACACATCCATTTGGTCATATTGTCTATGGCTTTTCCCCCTACAATGGCAGAAGAAGTGACAAAGACAGTGTGGACAACAAAGCCTGAAATATTTCCTACGTGCCTCGTTAAAAGAAAAGTTTGCGCACCCTGCTCTGCATTGACTTAGACGCTTCCCTGCTGTTCTCTCATGACACGGCTCACATTATTTTAAATTGTTTTTTATTTTTTAGTTGATGGGTAAAATTGTGTATAGTTATTGTGTATAATATGATGTTCTGACATATGTATCCACTGTGCAGTGGCTAAGCCAAACTATTTAACATATGCATTGGCTCACTATTTAACATCTTTTGTGAGTGTGTGGTGAGCACACTTAAAAATCTATTCTTTTGGTTATTTCTAGTAGACAATGCATTATTAACTGTAGTCTCCATGTTGTCCAATAGATCTCTTAGTTCTCTTAATTAACTGAAATTTTGTACCCTTTGACCAACATCTCCCCAATCCCTCCACCGCCCAGCCACTGGTCACCACCACTCTACTCTCTGCTTCAGTAAGTTCGACTTTTTTAGATTCCACGTCTGAGTTGAGATCACACAGTCTTTGTCTTTCTGTGCCTGGCTTGTTTCACTTAACATCATGTGCTTCGGGTTTACCCATGTTGTTCCTTCTTTATAAAACTGAATAGTATCCCGCCGTGTTTATATACCGCATTTTCTTTATCCATTTGTCTTTTGATGGACACTTAGGCTGATTCTATATCTTGGCTATCGTGATGAGCATAAGGAGACTTGCATTATTTTTAAAATTTTGTTTTCTTTTTCTTTTTTTTGGTGGATGGCCGATGCAGAGAACCGAACCTGGGATGCCAGGATTAGAAGGCTGTGCTGTAACCAAGTGAGCTATCTGGCCAGCCCCTAAAATATTTACAGGCTTGCCTCCCTCGACCCCGCTGGGTGCCTGGTGCATTTGGTCATCCAGCGCTGCATGCTTAGTTGCTGAAGGCTTAGTGTCTTGAAAGACCATTTACTTTGCTCACAATTCTGAGGGCTGGGAATTCAGGCAGGACACGTCATGGAAAGCTATTCTATGGGTCAACATCATAAGTCACAGGCCAGCCTGAGGAGGAAGAGACTCCACCTCTTGATGAGGTGGTGACATTGCAAAAGAGCGTGTGCAGATGGAAGGCACTGTGTAGCTGTCTTTGGGACACAACCCACCACATTTTACTTCATTCATTTCTGTGTGCACAGCTCCTGGCACAGGGCTCAATAAATATTTGTGGGGAAAAAAAAAAACCAAACTAGTTAGAAAAAATGAAAGTTAAAAAATGCCTTCGTAGATAGATCAGGCTGAGTGTGAGTTCCCGTTCTGCTACTGCTGTGTGACCTTGAAGAACTGGTTTGAGCTCTCTGAGGCTGTTTTCTCCTGCATCAAGCTGGAATAATAATTCCTGCACTGTGGAGTTTGAAGGTGATTGGGAATGGTGAGGGATTATTATGTAAGATATTCTGTACAGTGACTGGAACATAGAGATTCTTAATAAAGGCAACTGTTTCTATTAACATTAATAATTATACATGTTAAGAAAAATATCTTTTCTAAAAGTTAAAATAGAGAGCAAAGGTCACTGTAAGATGATTTCTCACTTACCACATCTGCCTTCCTTTCTGTTCTTTAAACATGCTGGACACTTTATGACATCAGAGCCTTTGCAGTTAATGTCTCCTATATCTGGAAAGTTCTTAGTGTTGTGCTTGGCTGTGCATATTGCAGGTCTCGGCATCAATTTTACCTCTGCAGAGAGGCCTTTTCTGACTATTCTACATAAAGATAGACCCATCCCTATTTTGGTTATTTACTTCCTCATCACCTTTTTTGTTTCCACCATTTAAAATGATCTTTTATCTTAATCTCATTTATGTATGCATATCTATTTCCTCTCACTTCACAGAAGTTGTAGGCGGAAACCCCCTGGTCCGGGCAGTCCTTGGTTTCTAGGCCTTGGCCCTTGAGTACCTGATACATGATATGATCAGTCAATACTTAATGAAGGAGTGAATAAGAGGATGAATGAGTGACCGGTTCTCTCTGTCTCTGTCTCGCTCTCTCTTCCAAGCCCCTTGGATGTCGTAAGTATTTATTCACTTCCAATCTCTTCTTTCTCTTGAAATTGTTACCATTAAAAAAAAAAAAAAAAAAAGGAATATGGGATAATTAACCACTATATGCATTTCTTTTTAAACCGGGGTTGAGGATATGGGGGCTGCTAAGACTTCTATAAACTTCTGTTTTAAATGGTCTGAGATACAATCTGAACAATTTCCTTGATGTTTTATTAGAGCCGGTAAATCATTTATGGGGCAGCCCTTACCTAAATCCTCTCCAAATCCCCATAAAATGCATTTAACACAGAATACCGTACGAACCAGCTTCAAAGATATATATGACGTTGGGTGGGAAGTATTTGCTCCAGTGCAGCAAGTTTAAACACACGTATTTTCTTTCTTTCTTACATGCTCTGTCTCTCACCCTAATTCACCCCTCTCCCCTGCCCCAGTGCCTCATCTGAACATGCTGCTTTTGGTGAATTTGGTTGATTGTTAAAGCTTCAGTAAATCACAATTTACAAATCCAATATTTTTTCTTTTTTCTTTTTTGTCCTTTTTGAGACCAGCCGCACCGCGCTCAGCCAGTGAGCGCTGTGAGCGCACCTGCCATTCCTATATAGGATCCGAACCCGCGGTGGGAGCGCTGCTGCGCGCTCAGCGCCGCACTCTCCCGAGTGCGCCATGGGCTCGGCCCTATTTTTTCAATGAATATAAGACTTTAGCTAGTCAAATGCAAGTTTATATCATTTGTAGCTGCCAATAATTTAAAAAATGCTTCCAAAATATAATTTTAATACTGTCAGACATCTTTTTCTCAGCCAGAAAGATACTCAACTAAGTTGCCTCTGAGCATGTAAAAGAGAACACTATTCCCACACGTCTGACCCTAGTCAGCCTGCTGTCAACAGCATCAGGTGGCCATAGGTGACAATCCTCTGGCTCATTCCTGGCAGGGTCTGCATCAGGCTGTCTTCTCTGGGCCACAAGACCTGTACTCACAGGATGTTTACATTTTTTTCCTCTGAGATATATGAGTGCAAGATTGTTACATACTGGGAAGTACCCCCTTATTTGAATATTCATAACTATAGATAGACAGGTCGACTCTATTGATAGATAGTGTGATAGACTGACTAACTTCTTCTCATATTTTAGATAATATGAGATCTCCGAGGTATCCCTGGATACTTCTGTAATCCGAAAGCAGTTAATAAAAATTTGTTGAATTAATATATGAAAAATAAGTGTCAAATAAGAATATTGGTATTTCTAGAAGAAAATTCTGGAGAAAAGGCCAGTGATACAAAACTCAAGGCTGACTTCAGATGTGCGTGGTCAGT